AGATATTGTCCAAATAAATCTTTAGGAATCTTCTACCACACACTTGTCTACTATATACTGTGAGTTTGTCATAACTCTGTGACTGACAATTTCAAGAGGAATGCATTTCATCCATTTGTATTGCATTTAAATATTCCCATCTGCAAAAAAAATGCATCTTCCCACACACACGCGTAAATGAGGCTTCAGCAGGCTCGGTACATTGCATTGTTTTATTTAGAAACACATGTTGACTGTTCAGCCATTCTCAGTTTCCATGTTGAATGATTTGATATATTTAGACCATTACGCCACATTGAGAGTAATGTAAAAACACATGTTCACCACGGAGCACATGTCGTATTACAAAAGATTCCCTCTCAAACACACGTCCACACCATTCATTTCCTTCTAATAGCAAACATGGCAGACATTAATATTTATATGGCACATAATCATCTGTCACTTTTCATTTTGTTTTGTTTTAAAAATGCTAGCACTTTTGGTTTGGATTCAGTCAGTGTTGCATCAAATGTGGACATGTGTACACACAAAAACAAAAACATCCAGTCCTAATATAATTCTCAAAGTGCATTTTAACATTCTGTATTTATCATAAACGTCCATATTTCATCTGTTTGTGCTGTATTTAATACTGTCAGCGGCGTTTGGCAAACTGCAGAACAGACCAAGAACCTATGACTCTTCTCATTCACACCCCGGCTCACATTTCAAGTTATTTGCTGGTAAAAAAAAAACATTCACAATTTTCGAGGAGTGGTTTGTGAATCTACTACTGCACGTAGTAAAGTTGCCTTTGTGTGGCTCATGCCTCCCTAACTGTGGGGAGGAACAATTCAAAAAATGTTCCTGAAGAAGAAAAAAGACTGCTTTTGTTCAACACTTAGTTGGCAAAAGCGTGCCTTCATTTTTCCTTTTACGCTTGAGATGAGCTGATACTTGCATTATTCTTAATATAGAAATCATTTCAGTCTTTTTTTTTAGATTTCTAACACCCATTTCATCATATCGTGAAAACAAGAACAGCAATAAGGCAAACCTATTCTGCGGCATCACTGACCAGCACTGCATGCTTTCCCGTATAGGCTTTAAGACCTTATTACCCATCACTAGAGGATCACAATGTTCACCCTTAATCCAAGAGGTGTCGAAAACTGCCAACGCAGAGCCACCAGTTCGATCTGAGAGATGCTGGTGTGACACATAAATCCACAGGGAGTCCACTGTCTCCGTCAGTTATTTGTGCGGTTTGACGTGTCGCACCACTTTGTCCTCAAACCTCTCCTTCATCGTCTTTTCTATCTGCTTGAGGAAAACTTGAGGAATCCGACCGCACAAGGTGTTGACCGTGTCCAGGAACTTGGTCTGGATGGGGTAGAAGAGCGACTGGAACATGTTGTCCTTGAAGGGAAACTGCAGAGACAAAGACATGGTCCTGTGTCAGCTCCGACCCCAGAGCTATTTTCAGTTTGATATATATATATTTTTTTTAATGGAACACATCACACGCTAAATGGTATTTACAAATTCTGTCAGCAGGGGTGGGGCGGGGCTCCGTATTAATCATAAATTACGACCCGGCTCATCTTTAAGAGGCTTATCTCGGCAGAGCAGGGAAGGGAAACCGAGTCTGCTGCCGGAGAAAACAAATTCTAAATTTAAAAACTGACCCAGATTGTTTTAATGCGAGCAAGAGGAGAGAATTTGCATGACAAAATAAATACTCATCGCTGCTCCTTTTTCTGAGCGAAGGGAAGCTGTTAAAGGAACAGTACAACATGTGGGGGATATATGGGCATTACTCTGAGGCAGTTGCTGGAAGGAGCGTTCTTTTTCCACTTTTAAACAGGGCTTGGCCGGCAGCTTGCCTGGACTAAATATGTCAGACTGTATTAGAAGCACAACAAAAATGTATTTAGTTTTTCTCCTGAAGTTGGTTAAAGAATGATAAATGTTGCAGACTGCATTAGTTATATATATTTTAGATAGAAAACGTAAAAATAAATAAATATTGCTATTCGTCAGTTGCATCTTTAGCTTAGTTTCTTGTGTATTCTGTCTCTTTTTTTGCCCATTATACTTAAAATACAAGTGTAAGGAGTTGGACAGAGCCTGTAACCACAACTCTACTGTATGTTACTCCTACAATGAACCAGATAGTTGCTGCTGCTGGATTAATACCAGTGCAACCACAACACCGCTATTATAAATATAGGCATACATCAATGAGTTTGACTTCTAGAAAAATAGCCCGTGCAGGGTTTCATGTTTGCAGACAGCTCTAGAAACTGCATCCACAAACACGCACACAGCTACATCAAACACCATTATTTGCCTTTAATAATCTGACCTTTGCTTTAATGAAACAAAACCACCAGGAAATCAAATCCTGTTTTATTTTAAATTAGCACTATTGCTCCTCTAATTCTAAACCTCGGTACATCTACTTTGGAGCAGGCGTCTTTGCCGTGCCGTAGCAGGAGAAGCACAGCTGTAACTAATAACACCAATGAGGGCAGTGGAACTGACACACCTAAATGGAATGCAGCCGTCGCTGATGTGATTAGTTACACCTGTGAGAATGGTGAATTTCTGCAGCTGCCCGTGCAACATGTTCATTATGTGAAGCTACGGGATCCCGATCAGCTGCAGTCGGCGTTTTGATCAGTTCACTACGTTGCAATTAGCTAAATAAGACCGATGGAAATAAATACAGCATAAGATTATTTTTTGATATACAGTGGTGGTGGTGGTTGGCTATGAAAGATCTTTTTGTACTGATTGTCGATACTAAAAGTAATCTGAAACTTCTTTTTCCAACCGCCTCTCCAGCATTGGTGTTTCAACAGAGGGCGCTATGCATCAGTACCACACTGACTGTCAGTGACTTAACCTGAGGATCCTACTGGGATACTCACATCACGTATTGCATCATAAACTACTTTGAACGCCGGCTGCTTGTCGTCGTGATACACCCCGCGGTTGCCGTGGAGAATCGACACACCCTCCTCTTCCGCCCCTTTACAGTTGCTGCCGTACATGCAGTGGTCGGGTCTGTAGTTCCACTGGCAGGGAAAGATGAAGAGACACTCTGGAGGAGGGGAAAAAAGCACAACATCACTCATCTGTTCAATAGAAACGATTATATCTGTCTAGAATCTAAACAGCAACATTTAGTTTACAGGAATTTCATACGACACTGTCCCTACAGACAGAATAACCCTGTGCTACCTCTAATTGTGTAAGTTGTGTAATCACAATCAAACATGCAGATGTGACCACAATCCCCACGCTGTAATTTAATTTGTAAAAGAAGCCAGTGTTCTTGAAGAGAAAAACTAACCACATGAGCAGCAGTAGGAGGACATGTCAAACCACAATTGCTGTATCAATATGAACACAATGCGCCCCATTCATTCTAATTAAAGAGCTTTCCAGTTTTCCACATTCACGATTTGACATGTTGTCGAGTCTTTCTCTGGCCTCAGCCGGCTGCCTGGTCACACCCATCGACGCACAAAATTTTTTGAATGCATACTGGGCCTGATATGTGTGTGTGTGTGTGTGTGTGTGTGAACTCGTCTGTTGGAGTGTGTAGCTTATGAACGACACTAGAAGATGGTCTGATTGGAACAGAGTAAGGAAAAAGGCAACGTCTGCTTGTTTTTCTGTTTATTTATTTGCATCTAAACAAAGACAGTAAAAATAACACATCATAAAGTTGTTTACACTGCAGGCAATCAACCTCCACCTGCTCCGGTGCAGCAGCTCAGTGTCTGACGATTATTAAATTACGGCTGCTCGGTGTGAACAGTGCACATGGTGAACATCAAATACAAAAAGAAGCACAAATGTGGGAATATACTGAACAAAAGCATAAACACGGTATGTGATATTTGGCGAAGAGACGGACAGGATCAGGTTGACAGCCATCGATAGCTGTCTAAATGATTTCTTAGACGACAAATGCTGGAGCTGTGGTGCCTAGTTTGAGCCTGAACGGACACGTCAGCATCCAGCGAGCCAACAGAGCGTTCTCATCTTTATCATCACTGGCAAATAAAGCTGCATTTTAAGGTGGCTTTAACAATAACGGTTAAAAGGAGTGCCTCTAGCTGTGCTACAAAGCAAGTTCAACATATCCAGGCTTTCTTTATGTACGTCAGCTCGATTAAAACCAAAGTCCCAGTCAGAGCTAACAGGTATCGCGAATCATCATCTTTCTTTGTTAACTCAGCCTTTCTGCTTCAACATCTGCGCATGCTCACACAAAAGGAGGCGTTTTAATGTGTCATGTGCCTACTTCGGTCTACAGGCTATTCTAATGGAGTGCTATGAGGAATGTAAGGATTTATGAGGTTAAAAAACGCTGCTACTGCAAATGATTCAAGACTGAAATGCTGGTAAAAAAAAAAATATTGTTAATCACAAGGTGAAATGTATATTTTGTCAATCAGCTTTATTTTGGGCCAAATAAAAGGGAAATTAATGTTATTGATTGAATGCTCTCCGTAATTAATACCACTAGAATAATCAATTTCCAATCAGTGTTCTATCAGCTGCAGTAAAGGAACTTGACAGATAATTGGTACCAAACATTAAAACATATTTATGCGATTTCTGCATCACCAGCTACATGTCAGGTTCCCGCGGCAACGCAATTCAAACAGTGCGTGATACCGCATAGAGAATCAACAGGAAATGATTAGATTGAAGTGAGACGCGTCCTAGTGCCGATTTAAATCCAAAACTGTTAGCATAACATCCCCCGGACCAGGTTAGCTCCACAGCATCAGTTACCATGGTGATCTAGCAGGTTAAAATGGAGCCACCTTTATATAGCTATAGCTGCTAAAACACTAATCTCGCTTTGTAGAACAGCCCTCTGGTCACACTATCTGATCCTTGTCCTTTAAAGCCACATCTGTGGATATGGATGAACTCAATGGTTCAGAATTCATCCCCAGCTCGAAAACCTTTTGTGCACAACCGGCTAAACATCCATCCATCCATTATCTACACACCGCTTAATCCTCACTCGGGTCAAAGGGGGGCTGGAGTCTATCCCAGCTGACTGAGGGTGAAGGCAGAGGACACCCTGGACAGGTCACCAGTCTATCACAGGGCTACACTTAGAGACAGACAACCAAGCACACTCACATTCACACCTAAGGACAATTTAGAATCACCAATTGACCTCAACATGTTTTTAGACTGTGGGAGGAACCCGGAGAGAACCCACGAGGAGAACATGCAAACTCCACGCAGAAAGATTCCAGGTGTCCCCACCAGGACGCGACCTTCTTGCTGTGAGGCAACGGTGCTAACCGCTGAGCCACCTTGCAGCCCCAACTTAAAGACTGTGCCAAAATTCAAGCAGCATGTCAAATGTGCAGGAAGATTCCAGGTGTCCCCACCAGGACGCGACCTTCTTGCTGTGAGGCAACGGTGCTAACCGCTGAGCCAACTTGCAGCCGTGGCTAAATATTATATCACATAACACAGGGGTCTCCAATCCTGGTTCTCGAGGGCCACAGTCCTGCATGTTTTAGATGTTTCCCTCTTCCAACACACCTGATTCAAATGATCAGGATCGTTATCAGGCGTCTGCAGAGCTTGATGATGAGCTGATCATTTGAATCAGGTGTGTTGGAAGAGGGAAACATCTGAAACATGCAGGACTGTGGCCCTCGAGAACCAGGATTGCCCACCCACCCAAAAAATACCATTTGTACACTGCTTTTAAATCTTAGCACAGTGTATATTTGGTCATTTGAACCCACAATAGTTTTATATTTGACATAATTAATATTTATTGGTCATGAATGCTATATTTAACATAAAAAGTCTAAAGCGTATTTACAATGTTTGCCAAAAATAACACGAAGCAAAGAGCCAGCTCGATTTGTTTCCATTTAAACTCCAGCAAGTGCTCATCTAAAGACAGATCAAAGTCTTTCGTTTTCCAGACTGCCGAGCAGCGAGCAAAAAGAGGTCAGAATCACGGTGATGGATTAACATGAATATTCTTCTGGAGAAAGCAGAGGGCTCCGAGCCTTAATGTGTAAAACAAACACTCCGCTCCTCGGCTCTGATGTCGGACAAACATCGGCGGTGCCAACCCTGCCGACGTCCCGGAGCAGTTAATGCCCACATCTGGCCGCTGCAGCTGGAACTCAGTCTGCTGTTGCCTGCAGCCACAACCTTGTGTGTTTACTGAGCCAGACTTATGATGCAGACTGGTTTGCAAACAGTGGAATAAAGCGCAGTTTATGTGAACATGTTGATAGTGTGAAACTGCTGTGCTGGCTGTGTGCTCACTAATATTTCTAAATGCTGTTTATTTATATAGTCTGAAATGTTGGTTTCAGTTTAGTTTCATTCATTTTGAAGCTTTTGTGTGTTTTCTACATAGACAGTAGACAGTATGAACACACCAGTAGAAGCACTGTACCTGGGTTGTAGTGGAAAATAATGTTGAGGAGGTCCTGATCTCCCCAGGTGATGTGGTTCTTGTACTTCTGATAGAGCGGATGCAGAAGATCCTCCCATGACAGACCGCTGGGAATCATACTATTCTGAAATACCGACATCAACACAAACAGCTCAAGTGCAGCCTTTTTTTTTTTTTTCTGCAAAACTGAAAAACAAATCATCAAAGGAGGAGCACATTTACATTCCAGCTTCCATTTGCAATCTGCTGCCAGCACTAAAGCTGCTAAATTGAGCTCTGAGGGCAAATTTCTGTGATGCGAGCGTGGTAATCTGGAACGCTTCAATCAAAGCCCACTCAGAGCTCTCAGCCTCTGACGTGGGCTCAAAGAAACAAACCCATCAAAATGCAAAAGGGAAATCACAGCACACTTCTTAAAAAAAAAACAGAAACAGGACCAGGTTTTGACCTTACTTTGAACAGCGTGCTGCGGATCCTCGTGAGATTCATCAGCATCACACCGGAGTTCACCCCCGTGACTCCATAGAAAGGGTGCCGTGCAAAGCGGCTGTACCAGCCGATCTTGGGCACCTCGTGCTCCGGGGCCATCGCTGCCAGCTGCGTCGTATTAAAGGACTTCAGGAGATTCCAGATATCATCCATGGGCCGCAGGAACAGCACATCTGTGTCCACGTAGAGTAAGGAGTCCACGTCTTTCAGTATGACCTGGGAGCACAAAATCCAATCGTCAGTGTAATATTGATGCCACACAATCATTTAACTGGATCGAAGTGACATTTGCAGGCATGTTTAGCTATCGAGTCTGATGCATTGTTTGTTTGGCGGCTCATTCAGCAAGCTGTGATGCAGAAAAAGATGTGTGCTTATGTCTGTGAGTTAGATAAGAAAGTGACTAATGCGAGTTGTTGTTCAGGGAGTCTGTGGATGTTGTGTTGTGTAGCAGGCTGACTGTCGGCTCTGCGTATGATGTTAGCGCTTCATGCGAAATCCACCCCAACATTTACTAATTAGCAGAAAATGCAACGCACAGCTGTTTGGTTTGTCATCGGATTTTCAGGTGCCTATATTAGAAAGTTTTGGATGAAAATAAAACATGGTGATGGCACTAAATGTCAAGAGGGAAGCTCGCAGAATCCATCCAGAGAGAAGCAGGAACATCTGTAGCACAGATAGTGGAAATCCATCCAGCAGTTAATGAGATCTTTCAGTCTGGACTGAAGTAGTTGCTGACTGACAGTAAAACGTGCGATGATGTAAAACTGCTGTTCATAAACGACCTTTATTGCTTCATAGAAGGGAAAAAAAACACATTCTTCCCCTACAATGTCATGCTACACCTCTGTTTGCGCACATCCTGACACTTATTCATTCAAATATTAATTAAACAAAACGTCGAAGCAAGCAGAGAGCATCATGAGGTTCAGTCCAGATCAGATTAACTAAATATCAGAGTGTAGAGACAGTGTGATTTAAGGGACCTCGAACAGCTTCCAAGTTCTGGCATTTTAGAACTGTTTATACAGTTTTCTGATAATGGTGTGAAAAACACCAAAAATACAAAGTCAGAATAAAGTTCGTCGCGATCTGTGGAAGAGCAACTTAGAATTCACACATCATCCAACACCGAAGCTGAGGGCTGCAGAAGCGCAAGAAAGTGCTGACTTCTACTGTCAGCTAGGAACAATAAGATGAATTAAAGATAATTACATCCCATATCTGCTGATGAATTGTGCCGTCAGTGCATGGCAGAAAAATTATAGAGTTTGGCCGAGATAAGATTTGGTTTTTACTCCTCACTGCCATGGAGGCGGTTTTAAGATGTTGGGAAACTTTGAGAGTTTGAACTGTCTAGTTAAAGCAACGCCCCAGTGAAAAGTGAAAGGACATAATGTCATATTTATATCAATTACAATGTGCCATTTAAAACATGCGGGCAGACGGAGGTTCAGGATGTCTGTGTGACAGAATTGCAACACTGCTAACTAGGATGGCAAAGTCTGAGCTGCAGAGTTCTGCTCATTTTTGTTGGATTCTGTTGCAGACAGCAGCTGACGGAGCAACAGACCACCTATTTTTGTGTGTGTATACATTCACAGTTTTGCATGTTTTTGCAAAGCTGTGAATGACTTCTCTGAATAAGAAAACACAGATTTCAGCGTCCGTATAAATGCTGCCACTATGGTTATGCTGTACACATTTCTACAAAGGATTATAAACCACTAAACAGACTGAATGCATCGCCATCAGAGTTTTCTCTGAAAGCTCCTCTCCACAATGATGTTCAATAAATAAAACAGATATACATTAATTGTGTGGTGAGTAGTCAAAATTGAAAAGGCCACAGTTCACTGCAGTGTTGCAAATTAAATGATAAGAAAAGCTGTTAATGAAAAGTACCTCCGAAGAGGTTGCACATTATTACGTAGCCTGCATAGTAATGTATGCAAGAACCTGCCATGATATGGTTTTAAATAACGCTCTGTAAACTATGGGCAGTTTTCAACAAAAAAATAGCAACTTCTATCTTGAGATTTACCGTTACCTAAACTTTTAGGCTTTGGTGCCACTGTGTTTTATCAATCTGGAAAATCTATATCACAAATACGGCACTGCTTTAGACATACAGTCATTAGAAAGAAAATCAGTTTTTTTTAAATGTATCTGAACCATAGACTGTATAAAAGATGGACATAGCAACCGGCCCTGAAAAATGAAGCCAACCTGGAAGTGTCAAAAAACTATGTCTGCTAGCTGCTGGCTCCAAAAAGCCCTGGCTCCCATAGACTTGAATTGGAAAAGAACTGATCACAGATCATGAAATACTGCATTCCTATAGCTCAGGATTTTTTTCTTATGAGTTTTCATAATCAAATTCAGAGATCAGGTGGCCAATCTGAAAATAAATCAAAACTGAATTTTTAAAAAATCGTCAACATTATGCGAGGCAAGGGGCGTGGCTGGCTTGATTGACAGTCGACAGCGACGATGCAGACGAAGCGAGCAGAAGGCGGTAAATGTGGGCGGGCAGAGAGGGCCCGCCTCTCAATCCGTCTGACCAATCACTGCTCCTATGGCTCCGCCCCCCTCTGACGATTTTCACTGGCTCCAAAAATCCAAGATGTCAACCAGGAAGTAGCAAAACCCTGGCTTCGGATGATGTCACGGTAGCTACGTCCATCTTTTATACAGTCTATGATCTGAACAAGCAAACGTTTGATCTTTGTTTCTAAAGATCTCCAATTTCTTTTAAGCGAATCAATCCACTTGAAGGAAGATCATCTACAAGTGGTAGAGATTTCAAACCAGTTTGTCCAGCACGGCTTGACCTGGCAAATTCTTCCCAAGAGAGGATTGTTGTCAAATGCAAATTTCTTCAAAAGTCTGAAGAACCTTAAAATGGGCAGGTAATTCTTGCACTTGTTGGTATCAAAGTGCTGAGTGTACAACCAGGAAGAGATTGCACACATTTGGCCTGCATGGGTGCCAGAAAAAAAAAAGCCTTTGGTCTCTAAAAGGAAAATCTGAGCAAAGCTACAGTTTGTCAATGAGCATGCAGGCAAAGATCAAGCCTTTTGGAATAATGTGGTCTGGACAGACGGGGGGGAAAGAGCTGTTTGTCCACAGTAACAGCAGGCATGTTTGGTGCAGAACAAAGACAGTTTTCAGGAGAGGAATCTCTGACTAACTGTGAAGCATGGTGGTAGAAATGTTACAGTTTGGGGTTGTTTTAACTGAAGTCTGCATCTTATCAAAGGGTGAAATAATTGCAGGCCATCTGTTCAAAAGTTGGAATTAAACAAGAAGTCCACCTTGCAACACATTAATGATCCGAAGCACACCGACAAGCCTACCAGTGAGGCTCAAAAAGAAATGGAGGTTAAGGAAAGTCCCCACAACGCAGAGCAGTACAAACAAGAAAACTCTCAAATATCCTGTAACTGAAGGAATTTTGCAAGATGAGTGGTCATAAAGTTCAACAAGCTGATGTCAGCGACTGGTAGACAATTCTGCAAAACGCCTACAAGTTGCTATTTCTGCTAAAGGTGGCCATAGTAGCATCTGAGGCACTTACTTGAGGTACGTAATCCCTTTGCAGAACCATAAATCTGAATAAATTATTGAAAAAGTTGCCTTGTGCTGTTCAAGTGTATCACCTTTACCTATATATAGAATGTTTTCAAACAGGAACAAATGTCCAAATAGGCCCAAAAACAGCCAATAATTTCCACTCTGTACTTACTTTCTCACATGACTAAGTCTTTGCCATATGCAGTCTATAATTATTACACCTAGACAAATCACTTTAATGCGCTGTTCGGTAGGTGAGTGCAGCAAGTGAGACAGACAAAACACAATTAGTGGTGCTAACGTATTGACTTTCTTTCACATTTACATGTGATGACTTTTAAATGTCACAATCATTAAATAATGGAAGAGCTGCTGCAGTAGGAGGTGGACAGATTGGAGCAAAGAGACTGAATACGAGTAGAGCTCCCAACCCACCATCCATTCATCTATCTGTCTGTTCGGGACCAACTTAATTTCTCCAAACTTCCTCTCTGCTCTGTACCGGCTGACCAGCCCACTGCTTGATACTCTCCTGACTCAGCGGGTGGGACGGTGCAGGTGAAGAATATTAAAGAACAAAGCGTTGGATGCAGTGCATGAGTTGTTTTCTTCTAGAGAAAAAGAAGTAGTTTGGTTGCACTGCCCTGCTACTTAGTTGGAAAAAAGTCAGGAAATGATGCAGGATTTTAACAAAACCAATAACCTGAACCTGTAAATAACCTACTAGTATACTCCCCAACACTTTGCAAACAACATACAGTTGGATGAATAAATACGAAGCATCAAAAACTTCAGAATATCAGGAGTGAGGTCCAGTGTTACTGTCAAATTCGTCACAATCACGCTCCATTTCTCCATCACTTGTTGAACAGCGTCTCAAGGCGCCTGTCACAAACTCATTTGCTTGAGGCAGCAACCCACTGATTTTCAGCAAAGACACCATGGGCTCAGGAAGCACGAAGGAAAATGGAGCGTGAAATGGACGGACTGTTGGGCAACATCAGGAATAGTGCGGGTGTGGTACTGGATCAACGAGGTGAAGTGGTCAATTTACCTATCAGTGTACGTTCCAACCCTCACCTATCATCATAAGCTCTGGGTAGTAGAATGAGATCGTGGGCGAAAGGGGGTTTCTTCCACAAGGTGGCTTGGCTTTAAAGATATGGTGAGGAGATCTCGAATGAGCTTGGAGTAGAGTCGCTGCACCTTAAAGTTGAAAGGAGCCATTTGAGGTGGCATCTGATTAGAACACCTCCTGGGTGTCTTTGTTTGGAGGTTTTCTAGGCACATCCAACTGGGGTGGACCCCACTCACTTGAGGGACTATACATCTCATCTGGCCTGGGTGTGTGCCTTCATTTCCCCCAGGAGAAACTGGAAAATGTTACTACGGAGAGGGATGTTTAGTTTGCTGCAACCATGACCTGACCCAAGGAAAATGGATGGACATATAGATATTGCATGTGTTGGTATTCCTGTGAGGAAGAACGATAGATTTAAAGCAGCTTTGCAGTCGGGGCCCTGCAGTGTACATGCTTGTTTGACCTAAGTAATGAGTTGACTCAAAGCACATCGAAGCCAGGCTTGACAGCTTTGTGTATAGGGAGTGTAACAGTACACATCGTAGACTAGATGGATTGGGATTTCTGCAACATCTTTATTAGCAAGCGAAGGTACTGAATCAAGAGGGACCAATTCAACTCCTAAATAATTCTATTGTAGAGGCAACCGTATACAAGGTGCTCAGTAGGTGTTCCTTATAAAGCGAATATTGAATGTCCATTGATCGCCTTGCAGTGAGAGAAAAACAGCTATGGATCTGTTTGACCCGCGATATGTTCATTACATGGTAAGTAAACTGGCTGTTATTTCAACGAACACGAGCAGAGGAAGAAAATCAATATCCAGACACAAGCTTCACTTGATGAAATTACAGGATTCAGTCTCTGGAGACTGCTTATTTGTTAAGTAAGTGCCGCACAAACGGTGCGAAATCATCAATAACCACGCAAGTAATTAATTGTAACTGTGCGCTGAAATAAAATAAAGGCTTTGGAAACTGCTGTTTGGGTAGAAATGAAATGGGGTTAATGATGTTTTTCTTAATGCCGCGTTAATGACATTAAGTGCGGCGAGGATGTGAGGTGAGATAAGTGCTGCAGTCTTACAGGGAGGAAGAGTCTCTGAGCGGCGCAGGGCTTGAAGAGCTTCTTCCACTCGTCGGCGTTTCCCACAGAGAAGGAGATGGGGTAGATGCTGAACTGGAACTTGAATGAGACGGAGCGAGGCCACTGCTTCAGCTGCAAATGAAACACATATCACATGTTACAGCGAGGACGTGCCTAATGGACGCTGAGTGTGTGAGAAAGAGTCGGGATAAACAATAATTTCCCTGAAAGCTAATCTGCCTCTCCCTCTGTTCAGCGTGCAGAGGTGGCCATTTAAAATAATGTTTTTTTTTGTGGTTCTTTGCGGAACAAGCAGCTGCCAGCTGTTGTTTTTATTAAAAAGCTACAGTCTAAACAAGGAAAGGCAACCATCTTGAGGTCCACAGTGTATTGCTGAAGCTCATGTTAGTCGCTCAATCCCTCCGTAATCATCAGTTTAACAGTTTGGCCCTGAGAAAAGTGAAAGCGCCGCAAGCAATTGGCAGGGTTTGTGCTGACAAGGACAAGGGATCAACGGAGATTGAGACCAACCTTTCTAAAGCGCACACCGTGTCTCTTATCGCTGGTCGTAAGCTCCTCGCTGCTCAAACCCGGCACATGTGCTGCATTATCAGGGCCCCCGACTCCCATAGCTCCCCGTCTTCCACGAGGGAATTTTCTACACGTGGCATTGATTCGCTGCACACATGAAGGCAGGCTCGCAGGTTTAGGATTTACATTTTAAGCACCTGAGGTGATGTTTGAGGTCTATTAATTGAGGTGATGTTAACAGACTTTTAGTTACTGTATCAGTGGAACTAATCAAAGTCATGCCAGGCCTCTCTGTAAAGGTGACTTTGAAGTGTTGCACGCTGCTGGAGGAAAGAAAAAAAAAAGCAAGGTGTCTTGGTGATATATTACGCCCCGGCCTTGAGATAAAAGGGTTATACGTCTGTACTCGAGTGAGTCAGAGAGGCAGAGTTAAAAACTGCTCTGATCTTGATGTCAGAGTTAAACATGTGCTGCATTAAATCAGAAATCAGAGGGTTTTCAAAAAAAAAAAAAAAAAAAAGAGATCAAAAAAAAAAAAGCCACTAGCTCGCTTAGTCGATGGCATGGAGAGGGCTGAGACGCTGCTTTGATGTGGTCCAGCCACCCCCTTGTGGATGGAGCTCCAACCTTCCAGTAAAAAAAAAAAAAAAAAAAAAAAGAGATCCCCTGCACTCATGCAGAATGCTGCGGAAATAAAAGCACTTTAGCTGCTAATTCACTGTAATTATATATTTTTGGCCTCACTAGTGCACTCTTACCTTTTCTTCAAACTGCGGGGCCAAAGGGTCCTCAGCAAAAATGTGAAACTTGATCTTCTTCAGGCTGAACAGGAGGGCCGATTTAACCATGGTGAGGGTCTCGTCCAGACGATTCCCGCAGGCCACCACAGCCAAGTGCATGAAGTCCCCGGCCCGGGAACGCTTGGTCACGGGTCGGGCTGCGTAGCTCTTCTGTTTGCTAGGAAACACAAGGATAAAAAATGATCCGCTTGTACAAAAGAAAACAATTTCAGCAGCCACACTGGTCTATTATCTTTTCAATAAAAATGTAACAATAAGAGCAGGGAGATATAAAAAAAAGACTGTCTCCATTCATTGAACAAATGATGTGCAGGATGTGCAGTTTTCTTCACCCAGTAGTGTTTTTTTTTTTTTTTTAGATCTAAATGGGCCAAGGCCACATGTAGGGGGGAGGATGTGGAGGAGGTTTGGATCTGCTGACGGTCACAAACCCTGTTTCCCCTCACTCATCGCTTGTAAATTGGTCTGCGAGCTGCAGAGCTTGTGAAGAGCAATTTGTCCTCAACAGACGGACTACAGCGCACTTAAGTAATACGAAATGAAACCACGGTAACACACACCGTCAAACGAAACTTCCGCTTCCACTCCACTCGATACACGTATTTCTAATTTTCTTAATCCGACACATCCTGAGGGTTTGTGGCGATTGTTAATACCTACGCATACATGGCCATTAACGTTTTTTTTTTTCTTGCAGAAATTCACTAAATTATATAGCATTTCAGCACTTCCCCTCACACACTGACTCAGTGTAATGGCATGGTGGGAAAGCCTTTAAGAACACCTCAAACCCTCCACAGCAACCAGGGTAGTTATTAACTTCTTGCTCCCTAAAAGTCCCCTTAAAATTCCCATTTGCATCAAAAAAAAAGATTTTTCGCTTCATAAAAAAGATGCATTTCCCTGCCTCACTGCAGCACTGTAACATGCTTGCAGTAAAGATTACATTTAAAACACTTTTTTTTTTTTATGTTTGCATCAAAAATGTGAATGAAAATGTAAAATCTGACGGTTTCAGTTGCTAAACATGTGACTAAAATGGTTCAAAAACTGGTTCTTGAAACTTTTTTATAGCTTAATCATAATAATCAGATCACATATTAAAACAGAGAGCACATTTGAATAGGTCTGGATTGTTCTGTTCTTTCCTGTGAATACATTTTCTACAAACCGTTTTTTTATTTTTTTGTCTTGAGCCCCCCAAAACTCCACAAACTCACCAGAATGATCTGAATGTCTCGCCCCACATTGTCTCCAACATGGTTGTGCTAGAGACGAGTATTTGCTCCTAACTTTGAGTGCAATTAAAAATAAAAATCCAATTACATTCTTGCAACTGTTCTCCCTCCAAATAGGATGTTGAGAAGCATTGTGTTCTCCATATATCCATCTTTTGACATATTTACATCCAATTCTATTCCCATTTATGCCTCATGTTGTTTTTCCTCTTTTCCCCATTAGTTGCTGATATAATGAGGATATTGTTCTGCATTTCTTGTACTTGTAGACTCCAAATATGATTCCATTTATCCCATTTGCGTCTAAATTGCCA